TCCAGAGGCTGCTGTGATTTTTCAGGCTGCAGGGCTCCACTCACACCTTCCCAGGACCTTGGGGTGGCAGTTTAGAGCAGCCCCACACTCCACATGCTGCAGGAGCTGGGGAGGAGTCACTAAATACTCAACACTGAACAGGCAGGCAAAAACAACCCAGTCAGAAGAAGCGGGAATTTCAGCCCAAAGATCTTTCTAATTCACCAGCAAAACATGTGGGACCACACCAGGCAAAGCAAACATCACTGCTGGCTTCAACCCTTGGGCGCATTTGGGATGGAAACCTGAGGATTATAATTATTTCCTAAACTTCCCACAGTGGCCGTTCTCTCTGCTGCTCCTCTTGCCCCCCACAATGAGAAGCTGCAGCTTGTCCAGCACCTCTGCCTGGCATATGCCCTGGCATGTTTCCACGTGTTTTCCATGAATGAGCAGAAGGTAAAGGGTTCAGTGTTTACCTGGACAGCCCCACTGGTGGCCCTGTGCATGTGCTTTGGAGTAAACATTTCGCTTGCTGCTGGCTCCACTAGAACACAACACAAGCTCACAACGTAAATTCCTAGAGGTTTACAACACCCACAGACATCCCTGTGGCTCCTGGGTTAGCAAGTGTTTATTTTTAGGAAGGATGTGGGTAAAGCCTGCAGTTGTGGCCAGTTGTCTCTGTGCTGGGTATCCACCCCCGTGCTGTGTAAGCCCACGAACATCCGTGTCTCCCTCTGTCTCATCCTCTGGTTCCAGTTGCTGCCTGCTCTGTGATGTCCCACCCAGACATGTAGGACATCCTGAGCACCCCAAAACCACACCACAATCCCCCCCTTGGTCTTACTTGCTTTGAGCCCCAAGAATGCTCCTGAGAGCTTCTTGGGACGCCTTTACTCCCCTCCCTGTCTCCCAGCACACACAGGCAGGCTGTGGTTAGTCCTGCAAGACCAACTCCCGGAGTTCTTGCATGAAAACAAAATAAAGAATGAAAAAAAATTCCTCTTTTCCTTCCCAGCTCTCCTGTGGGCACTGCTGCAGCATCTCCACTGTCAGCCCCAAACCCCTTGGGCATGGGGGGGAATGATGGACGGGGTCAGACAAAGCAGCTGAGATGCTGCCTAATGAGCAAGTGAAGTGAACATCACTATTGGCTGTGTTCAGCCTGGGAGGGGAAGCCTGGCCAGCAACAGCTTTGGGAAGCATTAACAAAGGGAGATTCAGGATTGGAGAAGATAAGTAGAAGGGGGTGTGAAATGGCACTCTGTATCTGCTTTACATGCTGTGCTCCTCCCTCCTCTGGGGTTGCTGGGGATATTCACACAGCTTCCCACCTCCTGGGGAGTACCCTGCCACACTCTCTGGGGTGTCTTCTGCCCGGGGTTGTATGTCCTTCCAGCCTGTCCATACAGCCCAGAATTGTCCTCACTCCTCCCACAAGATGCCCAGGACATACCGGCTCTTCCCACCCTCCTGTGCCCACCTGGGAGCGACACAGAGCCCTCCCCACTCCTCCAGGAAGGAAATCCTGACTTCAGCCAGGTGTTTTCCTGAACAAACCATCACACAGAGATCAAAACAAAGAGCAGCTGGGGTCAGGTAAGCACCATGAATGTGCAAGGCACAAAAAACCCCAAACCAAAACAACAAGATGGGTCCCTCGTACCAGTCTGTGTTCTCCCCCATACACGATCCCCCCTCCTCGCAGGGAAATCCCACACTGATGATCCCACAGGGATATCCTGCCACGATGCTGGACTGTACATTTACTCCTCATTGGACAATTCATTGTTGTAATCTCCACTTCAGCCCCTGATCTGATTTGTCTGGGAGTGGCATCTGCTGCTCGGAATCAGCCTGGATTCATTTACATTTGCCCAGCGACAGCACGGGTGCTTTGTTTTCTTAGAAAACAAAACACAAACATCATTAAATTAATCTATCCTCCTGTTTTTCCCAAACAAGATTAATTCAGAATTGCTTTGCTCAGGTCTGCCTCCCTACCATATTTTCAGAGCAGACTGTCTGAGCTCCTATTTCCTGAGCATGTGCACCAGAGCTCCCCTCCCTCGTTTCAGAACAAAGAGCAGATTCCCTTTGTTGTCCCGTAGCAACAACGTTCGAGATCAAGAGCCAGTACCTGTCTTACTGAGCTTTCCCTGTTCTGCCTGGTTCCAGGTGCTCAGAGACATGTGGGATTTGTTTTGATGGGCAGGGCTGTGCTAAGACAGGATTGTTTCTTCTCCAGCTCCCATGGAGACAGCAAGGGAGAAATCCCAACATGGGTTTAAGCTTGTTTTCTGGCTTAGGGTCAGTGCTGGACTCCCTCTGGGATCCATCCAAACCACTGGCCTAAGCTGCCGTGTTTGTATTGCTGTTTAATTTGGGTCAAATAGAGTTAAGAGCACATCCCACTTTTTTTCCTTTTCAGCTAAGAGGTGGGCTGTGTTCCCCAAGCTCCCAGCAGAGCCCTGCAGTTCAGAGAGCTCTTGGTGCTTCAGAGGTTCACCTGTCAGCAGGAGAAGCAGTTGTACAGGATTTCACAGAGAGCAACAGGCTCAGGCAGCTGCCCTTGCCCCCTCTTTAATAACTGTACTACCAACCAGAGCCTGGGGAATTCACACACCAGGCATCAAAACGCTGGGAAGAGCACGGGAAGAGCACAAAGGGGAGTGGGCTGCTTTCCAGGATTTGCCTGTTTGATCACTAGAGAGATGTCAGGGCTGGACACTGAACATATGGGAGCACTTTCTATTTCCATCCTTTAGTACTGTCCCACAGGTTTAGAATAAAAACATCCCCTTGATTTAACTTATAACAGGATGAAAGGAACCGGGGAAAAAACATCAGCAAGAGCTGTTTCGCTGCAGATGGGGACACAGGCAAGTGGGAAAACCAGCAGGGATTCAAATCCACTGAGTTTTTTTCAGTTTTTCAGCACCAGCCTGTGCCTGGGCGAAGTCTCTTTCCAAACCCAGGGGTCTAGCCCGTGCTATGGGATCCCCTGCCACAACAGGCACTGACAGGGGGCTCTGAGCTCTAGGGGAAGGTGTCCCTGCCCACGGCAGGGCGAAGAATGAGATAAGCTTTAAGGTCCCTTCCAACCCAAATAATTCTGTGATTCTAAGAGCAGCTGTTTCAGGGGCTGTCATGGGCACCCAGAGGTAACATCATGGCTCATGCACCAGAACTAACATGCCATGATAGTTCATCTCCCCACAAACAGTCTGAGGCTGCCTCTCCTCCTGTCCCCTCTCTTCCCACTCCACACGCTGCTGCTCCCACTTAGGAAGGGGATGGAGCTTGCAAAGAGCTCCAGGCAGAGGCTGGGAGCTGGGGTGAGTGTCACTGTCCCACGACCTGAGAAAAGGCCCTTGTCACTGAGCTAAGGAAGTCTGGACTGCATCAGCTCTGTGCCTTGAAAAGCCCCGGCAGGATGCTGGAAGAGGGAGCAGGAGAGCTTGCTCTGGTGGGGCTCATTTACTGCCTTCTCATAACAAAACTATTACAGCAGCCGTGGTGCACTTCTGCATTAACAGGGCTTTGTTAATTGTCATCTGAACTGGAGCGGAAATGGTTAGAAAGATTTTCCTTGATTAAAATGTTGTCACTGATGGGGAATTCAACAGACCTCTGAGAAAACTCTTCCAGCCATAGCTTTGTTTTAAAGTCCATGGCTGGTTTCTAGCACGAGCACTTTATCTAATTACATCAAACCCTCACTCCATTTTAGCTTTATCAGCTAGAAGAGCCTAATAGCAAAGTTTAATCACTTCAACAAGTTGGCTACAGCAATCTCTTAATTTTCTGATAAGCCAAATTATCGAGCCAGAGCCAGGGAAAGACTCAGACAGAACCAGCCTCTGCAGATGTTTAACTGGAAGCTCTGACACCAAAATCCAGGACCCAACACTTCCATGACACTATTTAAACCTCCATGGGAGCTGCCCAAGTGGCCACCAGGAATGACAAAGCACAGAGACACACTGCCTGACCCAGTCAGACGAGGAAGCACATCATCCAAATTTACTCCCAAGGGTATAATCTTTGGGTATGCCCCAACAGATAGAACCTTTTCACATATAAATTATCCTGGAGCCACCTCCTCCCGCACAATAACCTCTGGCTGGGGTATTCATGGAGGAAGGTGGACTCCCAGTTCAAGTTCTTCCTTATCCTCATGGTACTGAAGGGAGTTCACCCTCTGAAGAGGAGCCCTGGCCCTGCTTATGAACCAGGAGGGAAGATGGGAGAGGCAAAGAACATTTGGTTGTCAGTGGCCTCTCACTGTGGCCCAAGACAAGCAAAGTGTTGGGCCAGAGGCAAGACAGGGATACTCACTTGGGAGGCAGGTCCCTGCTCTGCTGCTGGGGCTTCTCATCCTTTCTGACCTCACACACACCTCACAGAGAGGTGGTGGAGTTTCCCTCCCTGGAGATATTCCAGAACTGTCAGGACACAGTCCTATGCCATGTGTTCTAGGATGACCCTGCCTGAGCAGGGAGGCTGGGCCAGGTGACCCCCTGTGGCCCCTTCCAACCTGACCCATTCTGTGATGCTGTGAATACATTTCAGCAGCACAGAGCTCAAGGCTCCAGGACTGGTAAGGGGAGTGATTTCCAGGGATTTGCAGTGGCCTCTGTGCAAGGAGAGGAATTAAGAATTTGGACTCAGAATCTAGTTTACATGCTCAAAATCTGCTTTAGAGAAGAGGCCTTTCTCTGTGAAACATATTTTCTAGTCCTTTAACCATCTCACAACTTCACCTGGAGTTTCCTCCAGTTCCTGACTGTCCTCCTTGAGGTGCAGACACCAAACCCAGACACACCATTGCCAACAACAGCTGTCACACCCCACCACACACAGCTGACACAGGAGCAGCTCCATTTCTGACTCTATCAATGACAGGGGACACCCATTCTCAGAGCTGCCAGTCAGGGACTTTCCATCACTGGAAGTGGCACACACAAAGGCAAGAAACCTTCACCCCACACAAAAATGGAGAAAGAGGCACTTACCCACTTGTTCCAGGTCTCTGGGTCTGAGAGAAGCGCCAGTCTGTGTTGGGCTGAGCTTGCTGCAGAGAAAAATAAGAGTTTTAATACCTCCATTCTTTCCTTTGAAAAATGAAAGCGAGCTGATCCTGGATTATTTCAGTCTGGAATATCAGCATGTTCCTTCCAAGTGAAGCAAATCAATTAGAACAAAGAGAAAGCTCCCCCCTCCCTCTTTCTTGAGTATTTCTGAACCAGCATGAATACTGAAAAGCATGACAAAAACTGTTCAGAGAATGATCTTCCAAAGCAGCTCAGGAAACCAGGCTGTGAAAGAAATGAAGCATGAAATAAACTGATAAGGGCATCAATTCAGCAGGAGCAGTGGTACCACAGTAATGAGCTTGGAGGAGGAAGGGGGAGTGTGGGGGTGGCAGAGTTAATTGATACTGAGGAAGATGCTTTTAATGCTCTAAGGTAAAATGGCAACAGACCTTCCTAATCTCTCCTCCTCCTGTCCTTAAAAAAGCCTGCCTGAGATCTTATTTTCATACATTGTATTTGAATGACTTTTCCTAGATGCTGTGGCCTTGGAGCACGACAATATTTTTCTGTCCACAGAGAAAAGAATGAACTTCCGACAGCAAGAGGAAAAAGCATTATTTGTTTAGGAGACACAATAACCTTCAGACACAACAGTACACTTTGTAACCTCATTAAGAAGCCCCCGTATCACTTTCTGCCCATGTTATTTTACCACCAGACAATGAACATTCTGTAAATAAGGAAGGACATGGAGCATGTTTGCTTATTCCTGTTTGAATTACGCCTTTGTGGAAAACACTAAATAGCAGAGCTGTCTTCTGTCTGGAAAACACACACTTCCGAAAATCATAATGAACTCTTCATTAAATAATTAAATAATAATAATTAAATCTTGATTAACTCCAGAGTGATGACATACTACCTGGAAAGGACAACACTCCTCTCAGCTATTTTAGGAATGAGCCGTTCATAGTCCACACAATGGAACATCAGTTTTATGGGATTATTCTGCTTGTACATGCAATTACTAAGGCAAAGTGAAGACAGGGCAGAGCTGACCTAGATTTTTTATTTAGTAGATGTGCTTTTATTAATTTCTCTGCAGCTTTGATGATCCTCATGAAAGAAGATATTAGAATAAATTACTCCCCTGAAATAGATGCCCCAGTGGTCCCCAAGCCGCATGCAAATGAAGCTGTTTAAATACTTGCCCTCCAGATTTCAGATACACATTTTTGCACACGCTGACACACAATCCTGCACTAAAGAAGCCCTTCCCAATCTATATTTTGAGTTCCTGTTGTAATTACCATTTTCAAATTTAGGGCAGGCATTTGTGACACAAAATTGCGTTACTTTTTATACCCCCGAGTTATAAAAGCTACAGCTAAACACAGTCACCTACATCTATATTTAGGCATCTGAGTACAAGTAGCTCAAGTTTTCAAAGCTTGCCGCTGCCTCAGCCTCTGCAAGCCCAAGGGCACATAAGGTTACCAGGATCTTTGTGAATAATGCCACTACTGACATTTCGGTAGTTCAGTGCTGAATAGTGAATTCAGCCCCTTGCTCAAGCTGAAAAATGATCCCTTGCTGGGGCACAGTCAGGAATTAATAACACTTGGAGGTTAAGAAATGAGAAATTTCTACAGTGCATCTCTAAAACTGAGCGAAAGAAACACTGACAGACTTTTCTTCCACGTAACATCTCCCCTGTCATGGTTTGTATGCCGTGCAGAACAAAGGGGTTAAATGGAATCAAGAAGTTAATCCCCCCCCCAAAAGCATGTCCCTGACCATGCTAAGAATCACTTTAAAAAGAAATGAGTACGAACGGGGCCAAGAGGAAACTCTCCACTGCCACAAACACGCTGTCTTTGATTCTACAGTGCTGCTCAGCCCCGTCCCCCAGCTCCACCAAGCCCAGCCAAAACTTTCACCTGCCACCTCCCAGGAGGTGACGGTGACACACATTCCCCGAGGCCACTTTCTTAGGAGGAAGGGCAGACAGAGAAGAGCCAGCTGGCCTGGATATTCCAGACTGTTGCACTTAGCAGAGAGGACAGTAAGAAACACCCATCTCTTACCCCATCGCAGGGACTCGCTAAGGTGCTGGTCACCTGCTCATAGGCAGCCACGGTCTCCGCAGTGCTAGAATGGCTGAAAGGCTTTACAAAGAGGAAATCGCTCTGCTCAGACATGGGCGAGAAACAAGAGGTGTAATTCTGTGCCTGGGAGGTCAAACCCGCTCCTCCCACGTCCAGGTACTTGATGAAGCCATCTGGCTTCATCTGCCCTCGGAAATGGGAGGCGGGCTTGCGGCCAGTCCCCCGGCAGCAACCCGCCAAGGTCCAGCTGGCACTGCCAGCTTTGAGACACCGGGCAGCCACCAGAGCAAACATCACGCAGGACACAAGGGAAATGGACACCAAGGAGATGATGAGGTAAAGCGTTAGGTTGGTATCCTTGGGAGAAGACTGCGGGAGGTCCAAGGACTTGGAGAAGTCCTGCACGCTGTTTTCCTCCGGAGAAATGACTATTACCACGGAGGCCGAGAGGGACGGTGTGCCATTGTCCCTCACTTCGACCACCAGCCTGTGGGAATCTTCTGACTCCCTGAGAGCCTGTGCAAGCCTTATCTCTCCAGAGCGGCGTTCCACTTGGAAAGGCAAAGCCTCAGCCGTCTCCTGCAGCTGGTAGGACAGCCAGGCATTATGGCCACTGTCAGCATCAACTGCTACAACTTTGGTGACCAGATAGCCAGGCTCTGCCAAGGCTGGGATGGCCTGGTGGAAGGCAGAGCCCTTGGGGACAGAGGGGTAGACAATGTTGGGAGCATTGTCGTTCTCATCCAGGACGAACACATGGACCACAGCAGTGCTACTCAGCACAGGAGACCCAGCATCCTTCACCTCCACAGGCACCTGGAACACCTTGTCCTGTTCGTAATCCAGAGCTCGCACGGTGTAGATGGTGCCGTTGTCCTGGTCTATTCGGAAGTAGGTTGAGACGGGTACATCCTGCATCCCATTATCCAGGATGGAGTAAGACAGCTTGGCATTGCTACCCTCATCAGGATCAGACGCTGACACCGAAAAGACAGAAGTTCCAGGAAGGGAGTTCTCCTGAACGTGAGCTGTATCAAAAGGGCTGGAGAAATTCGGGGCGTTATCATTCACGTCAGCAATGCGGAGGTAAAAGGTTTTTTGTGTGGCCCTCTGGGGGGACCCAGAATCCACAGCCCTCACTGTGATGTTGTATCCACTGGCCTTCTCCCGATCAAGGGGACCACTTGTGACCAGTGAGAAATGCTCTTTAAAAGATGACACCAGTTTAAACGGGAGCTCTTTTGCTATCTGCAGACGGACCTGCCCGTTGTCACCGGAATCGCTGTCCTTCACACCGATGAGGGCAATCACAGTGCCTGGGGTTGCATCCTCCTGCACTGGGCTGGAGACAGAGGTCAGCACAATCTCTGGGCTGTTATCATTGATATCAATTAACTCCACTCGCAGGTGACAGTGGCCTTCCATGGCTGGGGATCCCTTGTCCCTGGCTCGAACTGCAATCTCATAAGCACTGGATTCCTCATAATCCAGCAGGGCTTTGGTTCTGATCTCCCCTGTCCGGGGATCTAAGGAGAACAGCTTGGTGAATTTACCAGGTGCGTTATTGCTGGTTTTGAATGAATATTCCACATCCCCGTTGGGACCTTCATCCAGGTCGGTGACATTCAACTTGGTGACCAGAGTGCCCACTGGCACATTCTCCTCCAGATGTACCTTGGATATGGGTGGGTCACAGACAGGAGGGTTGTCATTTGCATCCAGGATATGGATGGTAACCTTGGCAGTGCCAGATTTCACTGGATTCCCTCCATCCAGGGCTGTCAGTGTTAGATGATGAACAGGCACTTTCTCTCTATCCAGTGCTTTTTCAAGTACAATCTCAGGCATTTTAACACCATCCCCTCTCACATTGATGCTCAGGGCAAAATGCTTGCTGGGGCTGAGCTCATAGGTGGAGATGGAGTTGGAGCCCATATCCGGGTCTTCTGCTACCTCCAAGGGTAGCCGAGTCCCAGGGTTGGCCACCTCAGTGATCTCCAGCACCACCTCCGGCTTGGGGAACTGGGGCGCGTTGTCGTTCACGTCGAGGACGTCCACCTCAACACGGTGGAGCTGGAGGGGATTCTCCAGGACGAGTTGGAGGTGCAGGGAGCACGTGGGGCTCTGCCCACACAGTGCCTCCCGGTCCAGCCTGCTGTCGAGGAGCAGCACACCTGCCACCAAGTCCACCTGGAAGTGCCGCTGCCCACCCTCGCTCACCAGGCGCAGGTTGCGGGCGGCCAGGCTCCGCACCTCCACCCCTAGGTCCTTGGCCAGGTCGCCCACAGAGAAGCCCGGCTCTCGATCCTCGGGCACAGAGTAGTGGAGCTGGGCGCAGCTGGGAGCCGCCAAGCAGGAGAGAGCTGCGAGCAGCAGCGGGAGCTGCCATGGCAAACTCCGTCCCGCGAGCATCCCGTGCCGGGTGTGCGAACGGAGCCGCGCGGAGCGGAGCGGCGGCGGCTCCGCGCAGCCTCCCCCGCCTCCCCGCCCCCGCTGCCGGCCCCGGCCGCCGGAACCCCCGCGCCCCGGGGGGGTCCGAGCGGGCTGTGCAGGGAGGAAGCCGCCGCCGGAGCCGCCGGAGCCGGACAGGGAAGGATGGAGGGGGCGGGGGGGGGGAAGCGAGCGCAGCCCGGCCGGATGAACCGCTTCTCGGTACGCAAAGACACACAAAGTCGGCGAGCGGAGGGGATGGACCGAGTGACAGTTTTACGTCTCTCCACAGCCCCCTCCTCCTCCTCCTCCTCCTTTTTCTCTCCCTCCTCCTCCCCTTCTCCTTCTCACCGCCTTCCCCAAAATACGCACGGCGTAGCCCCCCCCCTTCCCCCGCCGCCGCCACTCCGCCCCCGCAGCGCCGGGAGGGCGCCGGGGACTCCCGGCAGCGGGAACCCCGCTCCGCCCTGCCCGGCTGCTGGCAGAGGGCACCGGCCGCACCCCCTGCCCAAAGCCGGCTGGGGTCCCGCATCCCGAGCCGGCTCGGTGCCGAGCCCCGCACACACCGAGGCTGCGGTCAGGCTGGAGAACACACTCCCAATCTCACCTCGCTGTACAGGGGAGGAGGATCCGCGGAGGGTTTCACAAACATGAACTCGCTGATATCCGAGACCGGCGAGAAGCAGGAGCGGTAACGCGGGGCGGGGGGAGCTGTTGCTGTCACCTGCACGCCCATCACGGTGTCCCCTTGCTTAGGCTCATAGTGCAAGTGCCCAAAAATGTGGCTGGGAGGGGGCTGAAGCGTGTTCACGCTCTCCACGCAGCAGCCCTGGTTGGCAGGTGCAGAGCCCCGCCGGAGGCACCGTACGCCCAGCACTGCCAGTCCCACCAGCGAGACGGTGGAGATGAGCACTAGGGATACAATCAGGTAAAGCGTGATAGTGGGCAATCCCCCACTGTCAGCAGCCCGACCCTCGGAGCCCTGCAGGGCCTCTGGACCCTTCTCCTCCACCAGCACCACCAGTGTGACGGCTGTGGAGAGTGGGGGCTCCCCGGCGTCCCGCACCACCACCAGCAGTTCGTGCGCAGAGGCGTCCGTGTCCTGCAGAGCCCGTGTGATCCGGACCTCCCCGGAACGCAGGGCCACGCTGAAAAGCCCCAGGTCTGTGGCTTCCACGAGGTGGTAGGATAGCCAGGCATTGCGCCCCGAGTCCGCGTCTATTGCCACCACCTTGGTGATGAGAGCAGGAGGGGCGATGGAGGGGGAAATTCGGAACTGAGCAGCGGAGTCCTCCCCAGCCCTGGGGAAATGCACCTGTGGGGCATTGTCGTTCTGGTCCACTATAAAAACATGAACCAGCGTCCTGTTCCTCAGGGCCGGGGAGCCACCATCAGAGACCTCCACGTGGAACTGGAGATAGGTGGTTTGCTCATAGTCAAAAGGGAGCTTGGCAGTGACCTGCCCACTCGTGGGATGTATGGAGAGGTAGCGAGTAGGATCCAGGCCTGGATCTGTCCCACCAGCTCGCAGGATGGAGTAGGAGAGGCGGGAATTCTGCTCGGAGTCAGGGTCAGCAGCAGAGACCGTAACCAGCACGCTGCCCACTGGATTGTTTTCTGCCACCAGCACTTCATAGGATGCTTGCTCAAACTGGGGAGCATTGTCGTTGACATCTATCAGGGTGATTGGCAAGATGGTATGGCGGGAGAGTGGGGGATTGCCCAGGTCCGAGGCAGAGACGGTGACATTGTAGTAGGCAACATGTTCCCGGTCCAAACGGGTGCTGGTTAGCAGCGAGTACTGGTGCTCGTAGTCCTTGCGCAGCTGGAAGGGAAGATCCGGAGACACGTGGCACAGGACCTTGCCCTGCTCCCCAGAGTCCCTGTCTCTGACGTGTATCACAGCCACCACTGTGCCCGGCAGGGCGTCCTCACTCAGGGAGCTGGAGAAGGAGGTAAGAATGACCTCGGGTGCGTTGTCATTCACATCAGTGACTTCCACCACCACGCTGCAGTGCTCCTCCATCGTGGGCGACCCCATGTCCTTGGCCTCCACTTCGATCTCGTACACTGTCGCCTCCTCAAAGTCCAGGTTGCCCTGGACACGAATCTCCCCAGTTTGCTCATCGATGGCGAAGATCTGGCGTAAGGCAGCCGAGTTGTGGCTGCTGAGGGAGTAGCGGATGTCTCCGTTGGGTCCTTCGTCCACATCGGTGGCATTTAACTTCACCACGAGGGTGCCCAGCGGCGAGTTCTCCACCAATCGGGCTCCATAGGATGGTCTGTCAAAGACAGGGTGGTTGTCATTGGCATCCAGGACCTGAATAGTGATGCGTATCTTGCTGGACTGTGGGGGAGAGCCCCCGTCTTCAGCAGTCAGGACCAAGTGATGGAAAGCTCTGAATTCCCGATCCAGGGCCCGCTCCAACACCAGCTCAGGGAACTTCCCACCATCAGTGCGCGCCTTCACGTTGAGGTTGAAGTTGTCATTGGCACTCAGGTGATAGGTCTGCAAGGTGTTGGTGCCCACGTCAGGGTCCTGGGCAGGCTGGATGGGGAAGCGGGCACCCAGAGACGCCAGCTCGTAGATGCGCAGGGAAACCTCCTCACTGGGGAACTCTGGGGGGTTGTCATTGATATCCAGGATCTCCACCTCAATGCGGTAAAACTCCACTGGGTTCTCGATGGCAAGTTTCAAGTGGAGGAAGCAGCGTGGGTTCTGCCCGCAGAGCTGCTCCCGGTCTATCCGCTCGCTGACCATTATAACACCGGTGTTCACGTTGACAGAGAAGTACTGGGAATCCGAATCTGACAGTACCTGCAGATTAGCTGCCGCCAGCTTCGCCACATCGGTGCCCAGGTCCTTCGCGATATTGCCCACAAAGGCACCCCGGGTGAGCTCCTCCGGGATGCTGTACCGGATCTGAGCGGAGGAGCTGTGCAAGAACAAACAGAAGGAGAAGACACGCGGCAGCCCCAGGGACCGGCGCGCCTGCCCTGCCCTCGGCATCCTTGCCGGGTGGCCGGCCGGGCAGCGATGCCCTCCGCGCCGGGGGCCGCGCTCAGCGCTCGCCGCTCCCATTCATTGTTTGGGGCGGACGCGGCTCGGCGGGGCGGGGGCGCGCCGGGGCCCGGCGCAGCCGCGCCGCCATTGGCTGCGGGCGCCGCGCCGCCCTCCAATGGGCGCGCCGCTCTGCCCGGACAGCAACACGGCGGCCAATCACGGCCCGCGGGCCGTTGCCGCGCGCCGCGAACCCGCGCGGCGGCTCCGCGCGCTCGGCGGGGCCGCGACCCCGCGGCCGCTCACCTGGGCGCGCTCCCGCGGCCGCTCACCTGGGCGCGCTCCCGCGGCCGCTCACCTGGGCGCGCTCCCGCGGCGCGCCGCCGGCCGGCAGGACCGCCCCGGGGCCGCTCACCCGGGCGCGCTCCCGCAGCGTACCGCGGGCCGGCAGGACAGACCCGGGGCCGCTCACCTGGGCGCGCTCCCGCAGCGTACCGCGGGCCGGCAGGACAGACCCGGGGCCGCTCACCTGGGCGCGCTCCCGCAGCGTGCCGCCGGCCGGCAGGAGAGCCCCGCGCTCCCTCGGCAAGGTCGCGGAGGGTGGGCAAGGCCGCAGGAAGGTGAAGTCGCTCCCCTCGGAGCCCTGGGAGAAGCAGGTGCTGTAGCACTGGGACTGGGTGTCGGTGGGTCGCAGCGTGACCTCCATGTACTTGAGGGTGCCGTCGGAGCTGAGCTGGAGCTTGGGGCTGGAGTGCTTGAAGAAGTCCCGGGAGGGCGACTCGCTGAGCCAGCAGCAGCAGTAGGGTGAGACGGCGGCGCGGCCCCTGCGCCGGAGGCACCTGGCGGCCAGGACGGTGACAGTGGCCAGTGCCACCGTGCTAACGGCTGCCAGCGCAATGATCAGGTAGAGGGTCAGGTCCGGCTTCTCCTTGGCACCAGCCAGGAAGTCCCGAGGCTTGTAGCTCTCCTCCGGGGCTGCCTCCTCCAGGGCCACAGTGATGGTGGCGGTGGTGGAGAGCGGTGGGTCGCCGTTGTCCGTCACCTGGACGACGAGCTGCTGCACTGCCATGTCGGTGTCCTGGAAGGCACGTGCCGTCCGCACCTCCCCGGTGTGCAGAGACATGTGGAACAAGGAGGGGTCGGTGGACTGTGGCAACAGCCGGTACGAGAGCCAGGCATTGTACCCGGCATCCGCATCCACCGCTGTCACCTTGGTGACCAGGGAGCCCGGTGGGACAGACAGCGGGACCCTCTGGGGTGCCGAGACATCGCTGTCACTGGCAGGGTGCAGGATGGTGGGGGGGTGGTCATTCTGGTCCAGCACAAAGATGTAGACAGTAACATTGGCATGGAGTGGGGGGGACCCCGAGTCCCGCACGGCCACAGAGACCGGCAGAACCTGCAGCTGCTCGAAGTCAAAGGTGCTCTGAGCGTAGAGGTTGCCATTGTCAGGGTTGATGTGGACGAAGGAAGAGATGGGGGACCCCTGCACTTGGCCACTCACTATGGAGTAAACAAGCCGGGAATTATCCCCATCGTCAGGGTCTGAGGCAGAGACAGTGCACAGCAGGGAGCCAGGCGGGTTGTTCTCCTCGAGAAAGGCATCGTAGGAGGGCTGCAAGAAGCGTGGGGGGTTGTCATTCACATCAGATATATTGAGGAGCAGTGTGAGTGTTGTGGTGAGGGCAGGAGACCCACCGTCCCGGGCGATCAGCACCACTCGGTACTGTGAGGTGGACTCTCGGTCCAGGCTCTCCCGGGTGACCAGGGAGAAGTGGTTCTGAAGGGACCTGATGGCAAAAGGCACATAAGGGGAGATCTGCAAGCTCACATCCCCATTGGCCCCTGAGTCTCGGTCCCGGACATTGAAGAGCCCCACGACAGTCTCTGGTGGGGTGTCTTCTGGCACCGGATTCAGCAGGGAGGTGAGCAGCACCTCTGGGGGGTTGTCATTGGCATCCTCCACTTGCACCTGCAGAACACAATTGCCCTCCATCTCTGGGACCCCTCCGTCATGGGCTCGCACATAGATCTCATAGAAAGGTGATTCCTCAAAGTCCAGGGCCCCACTCACCCGGACCTCACCACTGTGGGGATCCAGGGAGAAGAGCCTCCGCACCAAGTCGGAGGTGTGAACCCCGAAGGAGTACTGTGTCTCCCCATTGGGACCCTCGTCGGGGTCAGACGCGTTGATCCGGAGGAGCAGGGCCCCCACAGGTGTGTTTTCCGGGACTCGCACCTTGTACGTGGTGCGGTCACAGGTGGGAGCGTTGTCATTGACATCCAGGACCAGGACTGTTATCTGTGCCGTGCCCGAGCGGGCTGGGCTTCCCCCGTCCACGGCCGTCAGCACCAGCTGCAGTTCTGGCTGCTCCTCCCGGTCCAGGGCACGCTCCAGCACCAGCTCCGGGAAGAGTTTGCCATCCGGCTGCTGCTTGACATCCAGGGAGAAGTGGGAGTTCGGGCTCAGCCTGTAGGAGCTCACAGCATTAGTGCCCACATCGGGGTCCTGAGCACTCTCCAGGGGGAAGCGCGCGGCCAGCGTGGCAGACTCGGCGATGCGCAGGGTGCGCTGAGCGGTGGGGAAGCTCGGGGAGTTGTCGTTGACATCCAGGATCTCCACTTCCAGGCGGAAGAGCTGCAGGGGGTTCTCTGTCAGCACCTGCACCGACAGCACGCAGCTGGCAGCTGCTCCGCACAGACGCTCCCGGTCCAGCCGCTGGCTCACCACCAGCGTGCCGCTGTCCAGGCGCACGGCGAAGTGGCGCGAGCTCTCCTCGGAGCCCAGGCGCAGCCTGCGACCCGGCAGCTCCTCCACCTTCAAGCCCAGGTCCCGGGCCATGTTCCCCACCACAGTTCCCACCTCTGACTCCTCAACCACCGAGTAGTGGATCTGCCCGGAGACCCGGCCCCAGCCGCAGAGCAAAAACAAACTCAGTACTTGCCATTTCCAGGCGGGTCGCTGGAGGCTGACACTCTCCATGTCCGTGCGCGTCTGGCCCGGGACACAGCAGGCACTGAGGAACTGCGATAAAATCCCTGGGTCTCTCTTCCGCGGCTTGGAAAACAGCTCCGGGGCTCCGGCAGGCTGCGGCTCCGGCTGTCAGCCTCCGAGCAGAGGGGGTGGGCTGGGGGAGGGGAACTGAATCACAGCCCCAGCGCGGAGGTGGGAGGGAGGGGGGTTGGGGGGAGAAGCAGATTTCCCCCCCTCGCTTCAGATCAGCGCCCAATTGGCCGAGAGCTCCGTCCCCTCTCGGCCAGCAGTGGCTCTGGAGGTGAGGGAAGCAGGGGCCTGAGCCGGCAACAGCGGGGCTGCCACCCCCGGCCTCCCCTCTGCCAGCCTGACTCACTTGCTCCGACAGCTCGCTTTGCGTTCACAGGGAAACTGCACGTCCTGGCAGCCTGGAAGCTAGGTACAAACCCTCCCTGTGTGCTCCCCCTTCCACAATGGGGGCTTCACATCGTGCCCACACACAAAGGGCAGCTGTCAGGAACGCACGCCAAAGGACTTTTCATGCCTGATGAAAAGGTGCTTGTTAGAGCCCTGAGGTGCCAAGGGCTCTTCTCCCACCCCTCTTCTCCCCCCCAGCTAATGCTTTGGCTGCTGCCTGCACCCCATCATTGCCTCTCTGAGTGAGGCATCACTGGCACCAGTACCACCACCAGCCGGGAGACTTTGCACTGAAACAGGGATGCCCACCCCTGCCAGCCCACCTGAGGGAGTGGGAGGCTGAAGGTGGGAAGGCAAAGACAGGTGAGCCATTCAATGCCAGAGTACAACTGCTCCCAAAGCACACCTGACTAAAACCCCTTCCTCACTCTGGGACGAGGAAGAGATCAGTCTTCACAGTACCCAAATCACTGCAAATACATAGAGCCGGACAACAAGGCCACTAGAACACCACTGAATCACAACACCAGGTCAGGATGTCAGACTGGGAAGGAGGCCCAAGCCTCCCACCTGGCAGACACACATACTGACATTCTGCAGCAGACACGGCTTTGCAGCCCTGCAATCTGAAGACAAAAGCAGAGGTCTCGGCCTCCCCAGAGGGGAGCAAACCGTAATTGCCTCCTCTCCCTGTCACTGAGGATGATGGCAAGCTGCAGGGTGTTAACTCAGCTCACATCCCTGCAGAAGCCTTGTGCAGTCATAGAATCATAGAATGGCCTGGGTTGGAAGGGACCTGAAAGACCATCTAATTCCAACCCCTTGCCATGGGCAGGGACACCTTCCACTAGACCAGCTTGCTCAGAGCTCTGTCTAACCTGGCCTTAAATACTTCCAGGGATGGGGCAGCCACACCTTCTCTTTACAACCTGTCCCAGGGCCTCACCACCCTCCCAGTAAAGAATTTATTCCTAATGTCTAACCTAAAGATTCTCTGTCAGCTTGAAACCATTCCCTCATGTCCTGTCACTACATGCTCTTGTAAAAAGTCTCTCTCCACCTTTCTGTCCCTGGTGCATCCACCTTTCTGTCCCTGGTGCACTGAAGGCCACCCTGCCCTCTCTTGGGTGCACACAGACCCTGGGGTCCGGGGTCTGCAGTGGTGTGGCAGGCAGGGGTCCTGCCTGGGACCCTGTCTGCCCCCCCCCACCTGGGCACCAAAGGGACCTGAGGGAACAGGTGAGAGAGGCTGAGGGGACCAGTGCCCGGCACAGTGGACGGTGACAGGGACACCATCCTTCTGGCAAGGACAGACACGGTGGAGGTGCTGCTTCCGAGGGTCCTCCCTCTCCTCTGCAGCAGTTCCCTGCCTATTCCCAGAGCCGTGAGGCGGGACCACCCTGCTGCCAGTCAGGGAGTGACACAGCGAGGACTGGTGAGAACACTGCGCGGGTCCCACCTACTGCCCGCTCCGGAGGAGGGGAGAAGGCTTCCTTAAAGAGCCAGTGCAGCAAAACGCTGCATTGGCTCTTTAAGATTCCACAGGGATCTACAGAGACCAATAAAGGTATATAGAGACCAATACCTGTTTGGAGGTACTTATTTTGGGGGTGCGTCTGGCAGTGCCACCGGCAAGGAGCTGTCACAGTAGCCTTGACTCTGGAATGTGCCCTGTCCCCATCCCAGGCAGGGCCCCAGACAGCACAGCAGGGTGACAGGCAATGCTGCTGGTAATACAGGGTGCTGTGCCCCTGGTAGTGGGTTTGGTGCTGCTGTGGTGCCTCAGCAGAAGCCCCCTGTGAAGCCCACACGGTCTGGGAGAATCCACCCAGTGTCCCAAGATGGCTCAATCACCAAGGAGCTGCAGCAAGGGCTTCACACGGGGGATTCTGCTGTTGCTTGAGTCTGTCAAAGCCTGGGATAGGGACAGTGACAAGGCAGAAAGGGTATGGGGTGTCTGGGATGGACAAGGAAATGTTCCCCATTCCAGAGGGCCAGAGCCCTCCCTGTGGAAGGGCTCCAACCCAGACAACCCAGGGATCACTGGAGATCCTGCAGAGTGGGATCCCTCATGGCAGGACACACTGCCTGCTACAGACAGGGCCAACACCCTCCCCTCTGCATCAGTTTTGGGGGCTGGCTGTGTCCTGCAAAGCAAAGAGGTGTAAAGCCTTTGCAGACTTGACACGGTCTTTTGTCACCACAAAGACTGAAAATCCAGGGCTCAGTGCCAGCCCAGCTGATTTCTCACTGCCAGTGCCTTTCCAGTGTAGTACTGGGGAGTAGGAGGGAGTCATGGCTAGGGCTCAGGCTTCCTGCCTGCCTGGTATCACCTCCTTCCACCCCACTCTCAAACAATTTGCTGCCCCCATCCCCAGAGGCATCTTGCCAGGACCTTTTGGTCGAGGGGACATCCTTGTCCCCAACCTGAGCACAGCCTGCACAGTGCAGAGGAACACTTGCTCCTGCAGCTGCTGCAGCCATTCCCACCTGCCAGAAACCAGAAATGCTGAGTCTGAGCAGTGACGCAAGCGGGGGGGAAAAAAAAAAAAGGGAAAAAAAAGGCATAAAATAATTCTGAGAGGTTTCTGCCTCCATCTCTGATTTGGCCACACTGAGCAGGCGGCACACGCAGCCTCACACCCGTGCACAGCTTCCGCTGCACCTCACTTCCTTCTGCTCTGAGGAGCCGGTCGCTCTCACTCACAGCCTCCCAGGAAGGACAAATCACCAGCACCAGCCACCTTGAAAACCCACCAGATCCACCACCACCCCCATCCACTGGATCCACTACCTGGCCTCACCTCTGAGGATTGAAGCACTCCTGTAATTGAGAGCTTTCCAATTAAGCTGCACAATTCCCATCGGGGAAGAAGCACAGGAGCTGCCTGCCATGCGCAAACGCCTTCCTGCCTGCAGTTTGCTCAGTCAGGACATCAGACATCACCCAGAGATAGCACACTACAAACCATGCAGAGCTTATAATAAGGTTTTTGAACAACATCTGAGTGGAGGACTCCCCATCCTGCTCAGAGCCACAGTCCAGCTCAGTGGAGCCCTGCAAGCAACTGGGACAGTCTGCAGTCCCACCCCTCCACCCTGAAGGAAACACCATCACAGAGCTTCCATGGAAACAAAACCAGGAGCATCAGGAGTCAAACATGAGGAGCAGCACAGATGGGAGGGATGCTCTGTGGCCACGGTCTGTCACACAGAGGAACCAGCATCATCCTTCAGCTTTGTGTGCTACACTGTGGGTAGTGACACTCTGGTCCCCCACTGGCAGCTGGTGGCTCCCAGCCCCATTTGCACCACCACCTCTTCAGTCCCCACCAGGGCACAGAGACTGTGTTCCCACCCACTGCAAGTGCTCCCCTCAGCTCTCCTATTGCAAAGGGAAGGAAATACCATCAGCAACAAACTTTGTGCCAAGGATTTACAAGTGGTTGCAAGCTGACCTCAGGCTCCACCGGTTACTCACGCAAGGCGTACCCAAAACTGCATCCAAAAGTCATGTTTGCCAACCTGAGCAAACTGACTCACTTGATCCTGCTCAGCACAGTGCAAATGTCACTGACACTCAGGACAGCTCATGTGACTCCAAAGAAGACCTGTTCAGTCATAGCTGACCACTCTGTACAGGCACGGCGCAACTGGACATCCCTCCCAACCCCAACACGCCACCAAACACGTATGGCACAAATGAACTGTGGCTCTGCCCGGCGCTGGGACATGCCAAGGAAGGAGCTACATTACCTCGGCAGGTGCGGGGAGCCGGCTGGCAGTGCCCACGATCTGGTGGTACAGCCCTGGCTCACCATTCCTTATGGTGCTCTGACGGCTCCCCAGGGGGCTGGAAGTGAAGGGCTTTTTACACAGGAGATCACTCTGGCGAGAGTCCGTGGTGAGATAGACCTGGTGGTAGAAGTTGGGTGGTGTGAAGCCACCCCGCACAGCATCGATGTGGTGGAAGGGCCCTGGTGTCCTGTATGTGGTACTCCTGGAGCTGTTGAACAGCTCCTTTGACTGCCTCCACTTGTAGCACTTGAAGATGCCCACAGACAACATGGTGATGAAGAAGGCTGCTGAGACCAGAATCACAGCCAGGATGAGATAGAAAGTCACATGTTTCCTGGGGTCATTGGCAGGTGCCACATCAGTGAGGTCAGTGAGCACCTCCTTGACCATTTCGGCCACAGAGATGGAGACAGTGGCAGTGGTGGACAGCACAGGCTCCCCGTGGTCCTTCAGCAGGATGACTAACGTGTGCTGAGGAGGGTCATCCTCGCGGAGCTGGCGGGCCGTGAAGATGTCCCCATTGTGCAGCCCAACTGAGAAGAGGCTGGGGTCAGTGGCCTGCAACAGGGTATAGGAGATCCAGGCATTGTACCCTGCATCTGCATCCACCGCCACCACCTTGGTGACCATGTGCCCGGCAGGAGTGCCGGGTGCCACCACATCGGGATAGGTGGCGGAGCTGTTGGGGTGGGGGTACAGCACGGTTGGGGCATTGTCATTGACGTCAGTGACAAACACACTGACCGAGACATTAGTGGCCAGAGGCGGAAAGCCGCCGTCCTGGACCTGTACCATCATGCTGAACTCCACCTGGTCCTCGTAGTCCAGGGAGGTGAGCAGGTAGAGGGTGCCATTCTCCCGGTTGATGGAGAAGAGGTGGCCCACAGTGGAGTCACCCTGCAAAAGGCTATAGGAGAGGTGGGCATTGCGCCCAAGGTCTGGATCTGTGGCGCTCACATTAAGGATGGGAATGCCAGGCATATTGTTCTCCAGAACATACACATCGTAGGAGTCCTGGGAAGACCTGGGCGCGTTGTCATTGACATCTGACACCTGCACCAGGATGTGTTTTACTGCTGACAAGGGTGGTGAGCCCGAGTCCCTGGCTGTGATAGTGATGTTATACTCCGATGCCTTTTCCCGGTCCAGAGCTCCTTCTGTTTTCAGTGTGTAGTAATTTTTGAGTGAGGAACTGAGCATGAACGGGATCCCAGGGGAAATGAAGCAGTTCACCTGGCCGTTGTCATGGGAGTCCGAGTCTGTTACACTCAGCAGAGCTACGACTGTCCCTGGAGCTGCATCTTCAGGCACAGGGCTGTACACAGAAGTCACTGTCACCTCTGGAGCATTGTCATTCACATCCACAACTTCCACCAGCACTTTGCAATGAGCCACACCAGGAACGACTCCCTTGTCTTTAGCCTGTAAGTAAATCTCGTACAGCTTCGCTTCCTCATAGTCCAGCTGTCCCTTGACCCTCAACTCCCCTGTGGCCGAGTCCAGAGCAAAGAGTTCCCGTACCTTGGCGGGGGTGTGGCTGCTGAAGGAATAGACGATGTCTCCATTGGGCCCATCATCCAGATCATATGCACTGATCCTGGCGACCAATGTTCCGCTGGGCGTGTTCTCCCTCACACTTGCCTTATAGGTGGACTGGTTGAAGACCGGGGCATTATCGTTGGCATCTACAACGTCAATGTGGATCTGCACATGGGCCGACCGTGGTGGGCTGCCTCCATCCAGCGCAGTCAAGACCAAATTCAGCTCCTTCTGCTCCTCCCTGTCCAGCTCCTTCTCTAGCACCAGTTCCGCGTACTTGCTGCCGTCCACCCTCGTCTGCACGTCGAGCGCAAAGTTCGGGTTGGCGCTCAGCTGGTAGGTCTGCAAAGAGTTAATTCCCACATCGGGGTCTTGCGCGCTCTCTAGCGGGAAGCGCGCTCCTGCCGCCACAGACTCACTGATTTCCAGCCTCGCCTGGCTGCTGGGAAAAACCGGGTCGTTGTCATTGATGTCCTGGATCTCTACGGTGCCGCTGTACAGCTCCAGCGGGTTTTCCACCACGATCTCAAAGCTGAGGGAGCAGGGAGAGAGCGCGCCACAGAGCTCCTCCCGGTCTATCCGCTCGCTCACCAGCAGCGCCCCGCTCGTCAGATCCACCCCGAAGTACTTCTTGTTGCCGCCGGACACCACTCGCAGTCGGCGTCCCGGCAGCCGCCCGAGGTCCAGCGCCAGGTCGGCTACCACATTCCCCACCGCGGAGCCTCTCCGCGCCTCCTCGGGAATCGCATAGCGAATCGCGGCGGAAACCCAGTCGGAAACGCCGAACAAAAGCAAGAGGCTCAGTACCTGCCCCGTCGTCACCCCGCGGCTCCTTACAGCAACGCCGTTCATCGCACAGGACGGCCGCGCTCTCCGCTTCGCCCCCCCGCCCCGGCTACAAATCCTCAGCTCTCCCCGTCATGCCGCTGCCCAGCGGCCCCGGGAAGCGGCGGCGGCGGCGGGGAGCCGGGCATTGCTCGGCGGGCTCGGCGGTGACTCACTCCCAGAGTCTCTCTGAGACCGTCTGCGCCTCATCCCGGCTCCGAGCGGGGCCGGGCCGCCAGTTCCCCCCCGCTCCATCATTGGCCGACAGCGGCACACAGAGTCCCGTCCAATAACTGCACAGAGCGCAGGGCTCCAAAGCCCCTCCGCGGGGCCGCCGCCGCCGCCGAGCCCCGCCGGAGGGAGAGCGGCGACCCCGGCCCGAGGACAGCGGGGCTGGAGCCGGCAGAACCTGAAGGGAGAGCACAGCCCTGACAGAACCCCCGCCATAAGGACAGGCGGGCTGACAGAGCGCTGGCAGGGGCAGGGTAGATCGGGCACGGGGACTGCGTGTGCGGGCAGGAAGGTGTAAGAGTTGGCGGAGAGGATGACGCCAAAAAGGGCGATACGGAGACGTGGGGTCTTTGGTGTGTGTTTGTGTCCCGGGAACACCTCGTTAGAATGAGGCAGAGGGAGTAAGAAGGGGAGGTGGAGCAGGCGGGAGGAGAAGTGGGGAGGGTCGTCCGGGGTATGCAGGGCGCCGAGGGGGAGCCAGTACCGGCACCAGCTTCCAGTGTCCCTCAGGACCTTCAGGATACCAGTCATCCCACCCAAGTGCTTGGTTAGCCCCTTCCTGACATCCCACGGAGTCGCGACGTGGCGGCTCCGTGTGTCACCAAAGCAGCGTCGCCGGCACAGAGACGACACTGATTTCGTGCTGCCGAGTTACGAGCAGCTCCTCCGGCTGCAGCACAGAGTCACGCCGCGGGGAGGCTCCCGCCGCAGGATTCCAAGGAGCACCGCCCCTCCTGCGAGATCCCCACCGCCACCACTATCCCAGCAGGCATCTTTCCCGACAAACTGTAGAAATCTCGGTTTAATACGCCCTCCTGCGCTCGTCACCTCCCAGCTCGCTCCCTGGTACCCTTCTCCACCAGCCAGACGCAGGGAAATCACGGTCTGCGACATACAGGCTCACCGGGGCCGGGAATGGATCCCGTTCCCGTGCAAAGCCCAGCAGGTCACGGCACCGTGTAGACCACGGCACCGGCAGTTCCGGGGCGAAAATCAGCCATTTCCTGAGCTGCCTGCCTGCCTTTGGGGTTGTCGCTGTCATCAACAACCCGTGATACTCTGGGTGTTCCGACCTCTCGCGCACCCCTACTGATAAAAAGACCCCGATTTCGGCCCTCGTCCGACACTCGCACAACTGCTCAGCTGTCACGGTGTAATGGGAAGGGGACGAGGAAGTTTGATAAGGGAGCGCCAGGAGCCCTGTCAAAACCCGGCTGAGACACAGCGTCCAAACGTGTCTTCCCACAGCCGAGGCTGCTAAGGAAGGGACAGCGATGTCCGTGAAATAAACCGAACTTGAAATCACCTCCCACGTGTTCATTCGCTTCTTTTAAAGCCCTGCGGAAGCGGTTGGGAAACGTTGTGGCTGGTTATTTGTTACCCCGCTACTTGTAATGGCTGAGCTCGTTGTGTAGGGGCTGCAAATCACCCGCACCAACGTGGGAGACACGATTTTCACCAGAGTGAGAATGACCTCGGCTCTGTCGCGTGTCCTCGCCCCGCACAATTGTAATAACTACCGTGAGCACACGGGATCCACCCAGAGATGAAATATTTCTGCGCTTATATGAAGACTCAGCAATATCAAATGAGTCGGCGCAGTCCGTCTTCTCTACAGGCTCAGCTATTTCCTTTTCTACTTATTAATCACTGCCAAAAGAAAAACCTTATCAGCGCTATTTATCATTCTTATCAGTAGCCCGCAGAATGTGAGAGAAGTGTAAGGTTCGCACCGATAAAATCCAATGTTAGTCATCTAACGTTCCCAGAGCACTTCTTTTCTCATAGGCAACCAAATCCGAATTATCTTTCTTTCTTACACATAATCTAAACCAAAGAAAATCCCCTGTGCTCTTCTAGACAAATCTTTATACAGCCTTCAGCGACTTATTTTCTCTGAGAGAATCTCTGAATCCTTTTTCCAATCACTGCCCATTTCGTGTCTTTCCTAAACTCGGTTTACCGAACAATTTCTCTAACGTGGGGACTGCCGTTCTCAAGTCATTTCCCTCCATACGAGTGCACGCACTCGTATGCAGAGTACCTTGTTCGTTTAATCCCAGCAGTAGCGGGACACCCAAACAACCGAGAGATGAGTACAGCGAAGAGGTCCCGGGAAAGGCATGGAAGGCTGAACATTTCCACCTACCATATTTCGATTAATCTGGAGCCCTTACATCTCCTCCACCTTGATGGGAAGCTCAAATATTGCAGATGACGCTTCAAAGCGCCTGAAAGCACCGTCTGCAGGCAGAGGAGTGGAAACCTAGGACAGCTAAGGGGAAAGACGCTTTCCACAGCACCAGGAATTCCTTCAAGGACGGGTTCAAGCCAAGTCCCAGCCTAAGACACTTACTCTGGCATTATTCGAACAGAGCTTGAAAGGAAGGCAGAGAACTACAGAATTACTCCCTCACTGAGTGAACGCGTCGATATAGACACACATCATTATCACATGAAAGCGCTTAAATGTGGCAGAGACAATTAGTGTAGTCGCTAGATCAAGGTGAAAAGGTTGTCTCAGCTTCGGACCCCACGACACTTTTGTCCCCACTCCATCCCGTGTCCATCCCACCACTACGGTTCGATGAAATTCATGCCTGTCTGTTCTCTCCAGGACACAGAAATACTGATAACACTGCAAAAATCGAGGCAATATCGTCAATTCGCAGATAAGACTGGGCTGTTCAAAAGGATCAGTCGATGTCACACACACACACACACACACCCATTCACACCCCAACGTCCCTGAGCTATTGAACAGTGCGCGGGGAAGCGACTATGAGCGCTGCCGGTGGTCCACTGATCCCCGACAGCAGAAGAGAGAAAAAAGAATCACAGAATCACAGAGTCAATTAGGTTGGAGTCATTAGGTGACATCATGGAGTCAACCTATGACCTAACACCACCTTGTCAACTAGACCATGGCACTCAGTGCCACATCCAGTCTTTTCTTAAACACCTCCAGGGATGGTGCATCCACCACCTCCCTCGGGAGCTCATTCCAATGCCCAGTCACTATTTCTGTATAGAACTTCTTCCTGATGTCCAATCTAAACCTCCCCTGGTGCAGCTTAAGATTGTGTACTTAAGACAAGAGTACACAAGAGTACACAACTACTGCTGGTTGACTGGAAGAAGAGAACGACCCCCACCTGGCTACAACCTCCTTTCAGGTAGTTGTAGAGAGTGATAAGGTCTCCCCTGAACTTCCTCCTCTCCAGGCTAAACAACCCATCAGCCTCTCACCATAGGACCTGTGCTCCAGACCCTAAGAAGATTCACACAAGCCCACAGACGAAAAACCTTAAGTGAGAAGCTCACCTGGTCTGAGCTCCCGGGGCTAGGAGGGTCCTTCCCGGGCTGAGTGCCTGAGCCGGGTTCACAGGTGAGGAGACGAGCAGACAGTGCTGCAGTCCCTGGTCTCAAAAATGTGAAGTCTTTCTGCCCCGACTCGGAGGCTAAACACACTTCGTAGGAGTAGGGCAAGGGCAGCGTGCTGCTGCAGTAGTTGTACGGTGCTTTTGAGCCAAGGCTGGAATACAGTTCCTTATCAGAAGTCAAAAAAATGGGAGGGCCCCTCGACCGCCGGCATTTAAAGAAAAATGCAAAAAAGACCGTGCAAACGAACAACAATGACACTACAGAGAGCGACACTAAGAGAATGAGGTTTAGATCAGATGTCAGCTCGGACACATCGTCTCTGTCACTCAGCTCCGGCAGCGCCTCCTGCAAGCTCTCGGCCAGCACCACGTGCAGCGTGGCCGTGGCCGACAGCGCCGGCTCCCCGTGGTCCTTCACCACGGCCACCACGCGCTGCTTGGCCGCGTCCCTCTCCGACACGGCCCGCGCCGTGCGCACCTCGCCGCTCTGCGGCCCCACGCGGAACAGCGCCGGCTCCGACGCCTGCACCAGCTCGTACGACAGCCACGCGTTGCGCCCCGCGTCCGCGTCCACCGCCACCACCTTGCCCACCAGGTACCCGGACGACGCCGAACGCGGCACCACCTCGAAAGCCGAACCCACCGAGCCCGGGGACGATCCCGAGGCCGCCGGCGGGTAGAGCACCCGCGGCGCGTTGTCGTTCTGGTCGAGCACGAAGACGCGCACCGTGGCCGTCGAGCTGCGCGCCGGCGACCCGCCGTCCTGCGCCCGCACGGCCACCGCGAACTCGCGGCACTGCTCGTAGTCCAACGAGCGCTGCGCGTACACCGCGCCGCTCCGCGCCTCCACCGACACCAGCGGCGCCGCGCCCGCCGCGCCCGCGCTGCCGCCCGACAGCCAGTAGCTCACGCGCCCGTTCGCGCCCGCGTCCAAGTCCCGAGCGACAACGCGCAACACCAGCGCGCCCACCGGGTTGTTCTCCCGCACGTACGCGCTGTACGACGCCTCCTCGAACACCGGCGCGTTGTCGTTCACGTCCGACACCTCCAGCACCAGCTCCGTGCTGCTCCACAGCGCCGGGCTGCCCCGGTCCCGGGCCACCACCGTCACGCGGTGCTCGGACGCCTGCTCGCGGTCCAGCGCGCTCGCCGTTACCACCTTGTATGAGCTGCCCGACGACGCCACGATCGACAGCGGCGCCTCTCCCGACAGCTCGCACGACACCTCACCGTTCTCGCCGGAGTCGGGATCGTTCACGTTCAGCAGGGCAACCACGGTGCCGACTGGCGCGTCTTCCGGCACTGGGCTCGACATCGACAGAATGGTGATCTCGGGCGCGTTGTCATTCACGTCCAGCACCTCCACCTCCACCTTGCAGTGCGCCACCAAACCCCCACCGTCCTTTGCCTCCACCAGCAGAGCGTAGCCTCGCGTGTCCTCGAAGTCCAGCCCCTCCTTCAGTGTGATTGTCCCGCTCTTCGCGTCCATCACGAACTTTTGAAGCACCTTGGCCGGCATTTTCCCGAAGCTGTAGGTGATGTGGGCGTTGGTGCCGGCGTCGGCATCGGAGGCGGAGACGTTCAGCACCGTCGAGCCCGGAGGCGTGTCCTCGAGCAGGCTGGCGCGGTACCGGTCCTGCGGGAACACGGGTGGGTTGTCGTTCGCGTCGGTGACGTTGATGCAGAGCTGGGCGGTGCCGCTCCGGGGCGGGTCACCGCCATCCAGCGCAGTCAGCACCAACCGCAGACTATTCTCGCTTTCTCTGTCCAGCGCACGGCGCAGCACCAGCTCTGCGAACTTGCTTCCTTCCAGGCTCTCCTTCACCTCCACCGCAAAGTACCCGTTGGTCTCCAGCTCGTAGCCCTGCAGGGAGTTGCTGCCCACGTCCGCGTCCTCGGCCACACCCACGGCAAATCGCGCGCCGGGAGAAGTGAACTCGTTGATCTCCAGCTGGAAATTGTCCTGCAGGAAGCGTGGGGCGTTGTCGTTCACATCCTGAATGTCCACCTGGACATGGAAAACGTTGAGCGGGTTGTGCACCAGCGCCTCGAAGCTGACGGAGCAGGACAACGACTTCCCGCACAGCTCCTCCCGGTCCAGCCTCTCGCTCACGTACAGGTTCCCGTTCTCCTCGCTCACCGTGAAGTATTTCAGCTGCTTTTT